AGTGAGTTAAAGAAGAGACCAAAACCATTATATATATATATATATATATATATATATATATATATCCAAATACCTCTCGACTTCTCAACTTTTATATATTGTGAGAAATGGTGAATTGATACTTAATTGCTTAAGTGAATAACGGCAATTTCTCAAAAGGGTTTTAAAAATACACATTTTTTTAAATTCTGAAAAGCCAACTCAGACTTTTTTCATTTAATTTAAGTCAAACAAATCTAATTTGAGATGTACAGAAATAAGTAAGGTACAGTCCAAAGTTTAAATTTAGTTTCTTTATCCTTTTAAATTACTGGAAAGGAAACCTCTTCCTCGACTAGTTAAGCTTTTCTCACTATCTTGTGTTGGTTCTACCAATTTATTTAACTCTTGGTTCATATTTTTTTCGACTTTAGCTTGATTTGGTTCCTGCAACTTCAGATTTCTTTGGGATGATCCAGAAGTCAAAGATTGTTATTAATTATTGCTATCGCGCCATATCTTGATATTAATGATAATTTACTTACTGTTAGCATATTATTAACACAGGGATAGGATTGATGAATATACATGAAGGAAAGAGGAATTTCGTCGATTTAATATGAAACAGTACCGGTTCGACTAGGCCTTCGGTGTCTTTATCTGCATGCAAAATGACTGATTCCTGGCGTATTTTCTGCAAATCGTAATTCGAAATCCTTTTGAAAGTTATTTATCAATTTTCATAGGTCGGAAAATCTCTCAAATTTTTCTAAAAACTAAAGGCAAAAGCTCTTGAAGACTTGCTATCGTAGAATATTATAGTAAATCTGATACACACCCGTGTTTTATCGATACAGGCACCTCTTCCTTTGAATACACAACCAAATCGCACCAAAAGCACAAATGTACCAATCATTGAAAGAAACGCTGAAACAGCACTGTTAAAAAGCGAAACTTCACAGCTACCGCTCATGGCAAATCACTAGATAAAAACTGATTTAAATACAATAAATGACTCTTTCCTAGATTATCACAGACATGACGGCTTATTATAGAGAGAAGAATGCAAAACTAAATCCTGGATTAAATATTTCTCCGGAAAATTTCTCGGGTTTGAAAAATTTGCACATATAATTCATCAATCTGCTGACTTTTTCGATTCTTTCCCTTAGCTACTGTACATCAATTTCCGGATGTTTCTTAATTATTTTGATTAAAACCGATGACGAAATAATAATTCTGAACATATCCTGAAACAGATAGCTGTCTAAATTATAATATTTATCTCATGTTCGCCTTGATTCCATAACAATTTAATGTTAATAGGAAACATGTCAAGATTATCGAACAATTATACGAGTAGATTGTTAAAACTGGCACAAAATACACTTGCACTCATATCATTGCCCTGTCTGCTATCCCAACGACAATTCTCAAAACCAAATATCAAATTTTGCAATACGAATCCATGAATCCCTGAGAAAAAAGTAAAATTAAGCAAAGTATTATACTTTTCCAAGGAAAGATATGCCTGGTAATCCATAAAAATTTTAAATCGCTCCCCACAATCCGATTCTAAATCAAATGAGGAACTCAAGACATGACATTTAAAGTTGCGATAGCTTTCTTCAGTTTACATGGTTATTGTTTCGAGTTCTCATATTCAGTATAATGTTTTCAATATGTTCTGAGAGTGCAAAATTTAAAATACTTCATATCCACTTCATACACACATCAATACTACTGGAGATATATAAACCAAATTCCAATTCTAATGCCAAGCCATATTCTACTAACCCATTCCAATTACCATCAATGAGAACTAAGAAGTGAAACTTACTAAGTGATGAGGTCACCGATTTTTTAAAATGCAGTTCCAGAATAAACTTATTCATTAGATATATGTGAACACTTTAAATGCTTAAAGATATACTTTGCGACTAAATGAAACATGCGACGAAATAGTGGAATGATAAACATCATTTGAACGAAAGAAGTGTCATCCGAAGTGAAACCAATGTCCTCACATTCACACCCATTACCGTCGTTGGCTCCAACATCTCAACTATTGAATTCGATGCAAAATACGGTCCACGACTAACAATTCCTTTTTTCTGTCATAAAAACATGAATTTTGATCAGTCTATTTTAATGCCATTATTTTAGTGAGAAAACCCTCGAATTAACCTCACTGCAGGAGTGAGATGAACCCTCTAATTTGTTTAATCCCATCATAAAGCAAAAGAAAATTTCTACCACGAAAATTAAAGAAAAATTCTGCAAAACTTTTTTAAGGATATCCTCCGGGACATTCCGACAGTTTCCAAAATGATCATATTGTATATTCCAATTTCAACTTGTTGGCTAGGAGACACTGTTAATCATTTTTCCCAATCCTATTAAAACTAGGGAAAAAAGGTCAACAACATCTTTCTGAACTAATTATTAATGAAATCAATCCTAAATTACTTATCTGTTCGTGATCGAAATGCAGACTAAATCATAAAACTAAGTTACCTTTCAAGTCTTCAAAACAAATCAGAACAGATATTTCTGTAAAATCTAACAATACTGAATACAGTAATTAAAACCACGAAAAATCGAATCGAAATACTATCCATAAGAAATTAATCATTTATGAATATATGAGCAGAAAAATTGATCTTTATAGCAAAAGAAGACTACACATGGCGAAATAAGTTAGATCACAACGATGTATAAACAAACAAAATGCGCGTGATTGTAGAAGCAAGTGTTTTAATATTCAAAAAGAGAATAGCATAAATTATTGAAATACGAATGTGCTAGAAATTCTTGACATATAAAAAATTGGAAAAACCATCCATAATTATAAAACTGCTAAATTTCTCTCCAGAATTTAGTTGTTTCATTATGTTGGAACAACTGCACGCAGAAAATATTTTCTCAGTGCCACTGTGTTTGAAAATCCCTTAATAACATAATAAATAATTGGAAAAAGTAAAGCACCAAAGAAACTAATCGTCAAGAGCATCAGTAGTAAAAGGTTTCAATGTTCGAGGATATAAGACAAGCGTCTGAAGCTTCGGAACCTCGGAAAATTTGAAACTTCTAGAAACAAAAGATCGCGGAATCTTTTCGGAATCAGCATTTAGAATTTACAGCTTTACAATTTGAAAGCTGTCAATATTTGAAATTGTTTTTGCCGATTGCACTAAATTAAACCACTGATCCAAAATATAGCTACTAAATGTAAGTGAATATGAAAAGTGAGCCCGATACTGAAGTTTAAAATTAGGGATAATCGCACAATGATTTCCAACAAGTACCAGAAATTGTTTCAAAATTCATCTAAATCAAATCCGTTTTCATCTTTACAATTAATGGAAATTTTTCACAACTGGACACTTTCCAATACTGCATGAACAGTTAGGCTACATTGGACATCTTTAAAGCTTAACACCTGGATTACAAATAAATGACAAAAAAAAAAAAAATGAAAGCCCGAAATTTCGGGGATTTGAAGAGTTTCGACAAACCAAATATAATTGCACGAAAAAAGCCAATACAGTAAGCAATCATGAATTTTGGCACCGAGTTAGGAATTTCCAGAAAACTAGAATATATTTGCTTTATATTCCTGCTCTTAAAAAAATCATAAAAAAATCAAATGAAAACCGGTTTGAAATTACGATATGAAGCTCCTTTCAACCCAATGAGTGTTGACGGTTCCGGTACTTTTTGCTTCCAAGCCCTAGAAAATCCTCACCATAAAAATCACGCTACTTTTGAAATTTCATTGCTTTCTCTAATGGCTGACGGGATTTAGACAGAACGGAGGGAAGGTGGAATGAATGGTGATACTAAAAATGAAAAAATTTCTCCCTCGGCACTGGTGAAAAAAATACTACCAAAAAAAAGAAAAATAAAGTACCTTTCTCTGATTACTTTCAGCTGTTTCTGTATGGCATCGCGCATTTCTAAAACTGCCAATGTCTTCTTCAGTATTGACTTTTCAGCCTATATTTGTTTTCATATGTAAAAACGGAAGGATATCAAGAAAATTTTGAAAACTTTATTGAACGCTACCCTGGTAAATCTAGGTACTAATATTTGTAGACTTTGATATTGACATTCCCCTCACTACGCTATTTTACCTTACTGTTATGCACATTAAAATCATTTTGCTACTGTTAAATGGTAGACACATTTCAAGAATAAGAATTCTGCAATCCTGTGGTAAATATATAGCACCTGACTATCAGAAGCAAGTAATACTCCGGTATCACTATTCTGGGCTTCCTTGAGCTGCAGTTGAAGGCTTTTATATTTTTCGTTCACTTCAAACTCAGATACTCGGAGTTTCAATTCCTCTTCACGTTGCTTCAGTTGTATCATTTCCTGTACATATAACAACCACTGCTCCAGTATCCACAGATTTTCTGCATCTGTGTATATGAAAAATAACTTAATCCCAAACTGTATATGGTGCATCAGGAGACTTAACTAAATTAACTTATTATAACGTTTTCATTTTTCTCGAAATTTTGATTCACAATTCCATACACGCTTATGTACAGAAAACATCGACTTTCGTCGCAGATTAGTGTAAGAAAATACCATCACATAACCGTCTTTCTAAATCACCAGCCACCGCTTCCACTTCCAATTTCCGGACATCAATTTCCACCAACTCACGCTGCAAATCCTGTGCTGCACTAATACATTCTTGTTCTTTTTGTTTCAAGATCTTTCCAGCCAGTTTCTGAAAATCTCAGACAAACTAATAAGGAATTTAACCAAGTCATTTGGAATTTCATCAAGGCAAAAGCATGATTACTAATATCTGATTCTATCTGCAAATCAATAAAAAAATAAAAATTATGTCTAAAAAATCATGTAACCGTTCCACTTAATCTTTCTGAATAACTTAAAATGCAAATTGTATCATTCTTTAACTTGATGTTCAAACTGATTAAGTCAAAACGTCCAGTTACAGAAAAATAGAATACAAAAATTTCGTGGAAATCACGACTTTCAGAAAATTCACCTGAACACGACGGATATCTTTTTTTGTGAATAACGTAGGTGATAATTTGTTTTCTGAAATGTAATATTTAACTTGGAAAATGAAAAAATTAGGAAAAAAAAGTGAGTTTCGAGTTTTAATGGGTATACCTGATAGCACAATATATAAAAACACATACTAACTTATACGAACATGAAAATGTGAATAGAAGAAAGTGCGTAAATTACTGGTTGTTGAGTCAAGAAGATCCGCACAGAGAAGTTTGAAGCGAGATAACAGCTTTCCTAATATGCAACACTTAAAATATAAATTATAAATATTCTTTCAACTAGTATATGAAATCAAGTGATCGAAAAATAAAAATGGAAAAAAAATATTACCAGGTAAAGCGGTGTTGGTGTTGTTAAAAACAGATGGCGAAGAGGAAGCCGTATCTTGGTAAATAAGTGAATGTTTATTTACCGATGAAATATTGACTGCTTGAGAGACGGGCATGCTCGCACACCGAGAAAGTACTCCTTCTCCTGAAATCATTAAATGAGAAAGTTCATTTGAATTCAAACGCAACAAGACCTAAATTGAAGCTTTCATCCGAAAAACATAAATACAACGAAATATAGTGTAAATCAAGTTTTGTGTAGCAATTTAAAAACAGTGATATAGTTCAAAATAAGAAATATACAGGTCAGAAACTGAGGTTATCTATTAATTTAAAACAGCGTTGTGCTCTGCGCTTAACTCCAAACCAGCACTACCTTTCCCAGTTCGCAGTATTCGGAAGCTTGAAAATTTATTCAACATATCCTCATCTTTTTGGTTTTCAACATTTGTATCGTGTAGATAGGAATCCTGAAAATTTCTTTAGTGTCAATTCCTAGTCTTAATTTTGTAAGATCCAAAATCGACGGGGTTTCACAGAAATGCTCCTGGTAGAGGAGGTTTCATAAACACATTTAAATCATACCCTTACAAAATACAGCACTCATCTTAGTGGCACAGATTCTGTTCAGAATTTAATATGATTGTTTATATGATAATACTCCTTACCTTAATAATTTTATTCGAATTAGCAAAAGAATTGGTTGTTCGACCTACCTTGTCAGGATGTTGCAGAGCCTTGACCCTGTCAGTACTAAACAATCGGGCTAGAAGGCCAAGATCTGGAATTGTATTTATATTTAAGATGTTCATTGACGAAATAGTAATTCCTTGTCACAAATATTTCCTTCACTCCTTATTTGCATCCTTCATTATATAAGACTGATAATGCAATATGAACAGTGTTACATTCAAACTATATCTGGTAAAATGAAGTTAATGGATGTGAAAGAAATTTTACTTGATTGTGCAATTGGTTGTGAATGAAGTGCAGCTGCTTTCTGAGAACAATCATTACTCGATGGAGGTGAAAAGTGAGTAAAATCAGATGCTCCATTCAGTGAAGGTATTGCATAAATTCCCTGAAGTAAAACGTGAAGATCTCAATTCTGAGTGTGAAAAACAAGGGAATTGTTGTCTTTCTGTCAAAGAGCATGTCGGATTAATTTTAACATTATGGAACACGAAAAAAAAATATTCTCAGCATTTTTCCCTATCTTTATCCAATGCGAATCAGTACTTGAAAATCATTTTGATCGAGATCCAGAGAAAGACAACGAGGAAAACATGATACAACTTTCGACGACTGCTTAGGAATCGAATGACGCTTACTAAATCTGCATAATTCTGAAACATGCATCAAGAAGATGTAACGGTCTCAACTTCAATAGATTAGATGTCTTATCGGGAAAAGGATTCTTGTTGTAATTTATTTATTCTTCCTGTAACTCCTCTTCATCAACAGTAGCCTTTACTGATCTTTTATATTACACTACATTGTGTATACAATAATAAGGATGAAATAAAGAAACATAGCAAAGAGTGAAAGATACCAACAGTTCTCTGATGTTCACTAAGTTATCGTACTCCCCTTTTGTAACTGTTGCTCTCTTTTCGCTCCATTACTGCTGTTACTCCCGATAAAGTTTCGCTCATGATTTTAACCGAACTTGGTGACTTGAAATCTGCGACTAAACACCACTGAACTCTCTTGAAGACACTGTTGAATTCACTTGAACAAACTCGAACTCACTCCCCAATTTTCAAAATCCTCTCTTCACAAATCCTTCGACGACTCCTCCTCGTCGGTGGCAAATTCCATTTCCAGATCGGCTTTTTGCGATTTTTGTTTACTCGTCAGGAAACTGCTGCGACCTTCCGGTTGGTGTTGCACTATGATCCTTGTCGAACTCCGTGTCGTTCCCTGACTGTTTAATCCTACCTTGCTTACTTGGTTGGGATATATCTGCTGTATGCCTTCATTCTTTCGGCTCGTTGACCCCTTTGAAGCTATCCCCCGCTATTTCACCTTTTTGAATTCCTATATACAACTAATTACATCTTTTCGGCTTCGCTGACATGTCCATACTTCAGGAAGAAAACTTCACAGTTGAATTTTTCAATTAATTGCATTGAAAAATATTGCAAAACTATTCAAAATTAAAAATAATTAGATAGAAGACTGATGCGTACTAATAAAAACGAGTTACCTAATTCACCAGTTTTCATTTCAGCCTTTGTGCGAACCTGTTCCTTAGTGAATGGAGCCAGCACTTGCTAAAAACAGTTCTAGTTTCATAAATACAACAACAAAGCTGAAAAATTGCAATATCTGATTTAAAATTATAACTACTTCATTGTGTACTAGTAAATTTGAAACATCTCTCGATCTTCCTTCTTTGAAATGCAATTTCAGTTTTAAAAACTTTCCTTTAAAATGAATTCAGTTATTAAATTTTCAGAATAAATCTGAGGCAAAAAATTTAAATGAACAGTTCGCAAAAAAAAAAAGAAATTCAACAAATAATTGCTGCAAATCATTGAGTAAAAAAGTATTGTTGTCTTCAAAATATACAATAAATAATTACCTCTCTAAACAAATGATAGTAATTCTTTTCAGACAAATCTTTCTTTATATTCAGCACTGTCATTAATTTCGGTGACTCAGCTGCCATGATTGCTGTTACTTCGCTTCCGTTTTTGGTAATAGTTGTATCAAATTTTTCATTAAGGTCTTCGTATTCTTTTCCTAGCGACGAAATATTTAGGTGTTCTCGGAATTTTTGTTGCCGACGTTCTTTGAATGTCTTCAGAAGCTTCAACGCCTGAAAACAAAATAATTGTAATTTAACGAGCTAATAAGTCGAAAACAGAAGAACACAGTAGCTGACGTCAATCAGTGATGTTTGTAATATACCACTGCATACAAACTTCTTAGAACCAGTAAGTTTCAAAATGAAACGTAGGTACCAGGAAAACCGTATTCACATCCAAATAATGAGTATTCACCCAAATAAAGGTCAATATGTTTTAAAACTCGACTCATAAAGAACGCATACAAAGCAATGCTCCTCCAAAAATTATTTCATTCTTGGCGATGTAACACTGGCTTTGACTCTTCTAAAAAATGGCAAGTTTCTGGAAAAACTTTTGCAATCATCAGCTTTAAGTGAACATGAAACTAAAATTTACCTCGGTTTCAGTTAACGACCTATTCATACTTTTATCAAAATTTTCCAACACAGCTGATTCTAAATCGACCAGTTCATCATCTTCCATGAAATCAGTATCACCATCGTCGTCATCATCACCATCTTCACCATATGATAAATATTCATCTTCATCCTCTGAAAATGAAATGATTGCAGTGCGAATACAAACGTGATAAGCACGGTGATAAAATAAAGGCGAATCAAGTTGTACAAACTATTAGCTTTCTGTTTTATTTCTATATTAATGCAAAACTGGAGAATCCTGAGCTTAATCCAAACTTTCAGTTGACGAGTTTATAACAAACACAGAACTCACATCAAAAACTTACCTAACAATCCCTCGTCACCAAAATTGCCTTGACCATTTAAACAACTTCCACTGCCGCTACGTGAGGTTGCTTTTTCTTTTGTAGTTATCTGAATCGAAATCAAAATTGAAGCAGTTTGGTTAAACTTATAGCATAATAATATCTATGGACAAAGTTTTGAGAAAGTGTCCCAGACAGATTAAAATCTATTAAAACATGAGCAGTTCTCAAAAACTTGACCAGACATGATTTTCAACAGCTTACTAAATTCAAGTATTCAGCTTACAAATCAACAAGCCAACCTTTTGATCATGTATTCCGAACTCGGCACGCTCTTGTGTCACATGCATATGCAGCGATGACGATAATGCACTAATTGCTTCCTTCTGGGCACGCATTTTTTCCATTGTCTTGCCAAGGAGTATAGACGGTGAGTTTCGTCCAGTTCGCTGCACAGCGGGCGCTCCTATGGACTGCTGGAACTTGAACTATGAAATAAAAGCAGTGAATGCCAATTTTCAGCTCAACGCTTTACTGCACAATAGCAGTGATTTATATGCGGAAAATAACTCGTGATTGATTAAAATTCGTTATTAATTTCAGCTAATGTAATTGTTTTATTTGTTTTACATTTCTATACACTAAGCAAACAGTGAAGCTTTCGTACACTAACATTTGTAGATGACATAGCATATCCATTGACAACATTCAATGTATCATTCAGCGTTGATAAATATGACCCTAAAAACATTTCAGTTGGAAAAAGTTTTTTTTTCCTTTCCTTTTTTTTCTTTTTTTTTGTGAAAAAAGATGAAATATGACATTGCTTCCTTTGAAAATTAGCGCTGTTATGCTGCTATAAATTAAAAAAATTGATTAAATAAATTCTAAACAAAAATACCAGTGACATCGCTTGCTTTACAACCATTTTTTTCTATTCGCGCAATCTTTTCTAGAACTGGTAAGTTCATGTGCTGCATGCAAAAGAACCTGGAAATGCATCTTTGAGTAAATCAGAAAAGAGTAACCATTTCAAAGTATCAAACGCGTCTCTAATTTATTGTCCGTAGTGAGATCCAGCATAACATCAAGAACATCAGATCCAAACTTGGACAGATGCTTTTCTCCTTTTCATGATGAAGTAATTCTTAATCTTATATGTAAAAATATAATTCGGAGTTTCGCAAAAACGTCATTACAGAAAGTTCTGCAACTTTTAAATATTAAATCCAAGCAAAATCATTGGATGTAATACAGGGAATCGCTCTAAGATGAACCTCGGATTAAAATTTCGAAGATTTCGATCTTGAGCACAATTACCGAGGCGTAACGGTTGCTCACAAAAGGCACAACGAAAGCACTTTTTGTGGATGAACATTCCTTCCACCTGCATCCGTTCAGCTAAGTAAACAACTTTCAAACATAGTTGACAAATTATCTGTCGGCGGGCATTAACACTTTCGCACGACAACTGCATGACAGGCATCGAACAAGGTCTCGCGGTATTACTTGACAATTTACTCTAAGAAAGTAAAAAATAAATTTAAAAACATTAGAAATCAAATGAATTAAAAGGACACTTCCAGTTTTAACAGTAAGCGATCTATGTGCAGAAATTATTTGAATTCCTGACCATAACGAAATCAAATAACAAGTCTCATTTTCTCTGTCCCACCCTGATGATGATATAAATTTGCCTATGAAGAACAATCATAACACAATTTCACTGTTTTGCAAGGCTTGCACCTGTTCCCATTATATGTAGGCGTTGAATCAAGATTTTACCCGAAAAATAATGTTTTGATCTTTTGGACGCAAGGCTGATGAACTGATTCTGTTTTCTTGTGAAATCGTCTTCTTCGGAGGCAGAGGTGGTGGAGGTTTATTAGCATTTACTGGTTTACTTCCATTATTCATTGCCTAGAATTTCGACTTCACTGTAAAACACTAAATATGAAGTATCGAAATCTCTCATCAGAACTACTCAAATCTGTTGAATTTCAAATATCTTTAAATAAAAACTCTTCACGCTGAAGACCACATAAAGCATATATAAATCTTGAAAGATACCACGCCACTTTTATTCTTTGTTTTGGAGACAATATTAATGCCGACCAGGTTTTGATTCTTCAGTAACGTTTCTGCTTTCGATAGCTTTTTGTCAATTTCCTGAAAACACAACTATTGTCCCGCAAAGCATTCAACTTTAGTTAAATTATGTTGAATCTAAGTATAACGGAAGAATTGGCTGAAAGAGCCTCTGAAATAAAACAAAAAATTAATAAGAACTAAGTATGAAGTATGAGATAACCTTATATTTTTCATCAGCATGTTTAAAACCTTCATTGACGGTTCGCCGAGCTGCTGCTGCATTCGTGCAAATGATCTGAAATATATTTAATAAAAAATAAGCGCTTCTGATACTAGCAAAACCAAAGTTAGCATAATCCCACTGCAAGATTGGTACTGAAAAAGGTATACGACTGAAAATGATTGAAAAAGATACATTGGTGCATGATTGCTACTGAAAAAGTAGTGAAAAAAATAAAAAGTTGATTGATTCAGATACATATACTGTCAGTCAGATGCAGAAAAGAAGAGTGAAATTACTCAATAGATCTAGAATTTAGTTTTGAGAAAAGCAGAAAACTTTATTCACAATAGAACTTTCTAAGTGTGGTAACATCTTAAAACAAAAAGCAATGCTTACCTTTTCTTCCTTGGAAGTAAGGACCCGATATCGTTCCTTGTTGAAAAGCAAGCCCATAGCAGTCTGTTCCAGTTTTAATTTCATTTCATCAATGTCGTGTT